TTCCTTGTAAGTTATAGGCAGTACAGGAACATTTTCCATCTGCAAGAAGGAATAAAAAGGATTTTGTATGAGAGAAAGGTAGTTTTCCAATCAGACAATATTGTTCTGTTCACAAAGTATGAATAATAACAGCAGAAGTATCTTTATTATAAAGGGTTATAATTGGAGAACAGTATAGACAGGGTTGAGTGTTTCAACATATTAAATGTCAAACAAAATCATACAAACCTTCCCTTTAATGAACTAGATGACCAAATACTTACCCATTAAGGATCTAACTTAATATAAATGTGTTATTTAGCTGTGGATTGAATCTTCCAGGATACAGTGATAGTATCAACACATCAGATATTTGCAAAAGGAGAGTGAACAAATAGGAATGAAGAATTTGATGTAGAATTCCAGTTTGCAAGTGAAGATCTGATAATTTACTGGATATCATCACACAAGTCTGTCTTCAGGATCATGAACTTACACCAATAGTCTGTTCTTGTAATTGTGTTTGGTTTGGTGTAAGGGCTCCTGCATAGTTTTGATGGATAAAATCCTCTATTTTCTCTCTTGTATGCAATTTATAATTTATTACAATGTTTTAATTTACCATCTTCCCTTGGAGGTGTGCCACTGGCTATTAATGGAATATTCCAAAATTATTATAGGTAGTTTGAATCATATTTGCAGAAATAATCTGACTCATTTACTGACATTTACCAAACAGAATATTTTCACAAGAATCCCAGTATCCCCTCACTCACCTATGCCTTCAGTGCAGCATAGGATATGCGTCAGTACGAGAATTTGTAGTTTAGTTGCAATTTGGCTAACTGTGATATCTGGTTAAGGAAATAAGGTATCAGATGTCAGGTTCAGCACTTGATGCACACTATTTCACAGTTACCTGCTTTCAGCCTATCCAGCTAGATTGCTTCTATAGTAGGAGATGAGATTAACCCAGACCTGAGCCAGATTCTGCTCTGGAATCAGGGCCAGAGCCAGGAGGAGACCCAGCAACTCCACTCCAAGGGGCATCTTACCAGCTGAGCCAAACACTTGCCCCAGTGCTTATTGTCAGATATTTTGCATTCTCATATAATTATTGTTTAAGGTTTATGCTAACTATCATGAAATATGAGGAACATACCATAGTGTAAATTATGCCAATGCAGATCTACTAATTTTTTTCAGTTAAAATCATTACTACACTTATGGATATTCTTGGATATACTGACATTGTTTGGAAATGGGAAAATATTCTCAGTATTTTATAAAATTAATCAAAATCTTCAAGATTACAATGTCTATTACTAGTTTACATCTCCAGATTTCTTGTCTACCACTGAAAGACATAAATGATTTAGATTATAACCACATTAACTAACCAATAATAGATATAATTGAAGCACAATGATAAAATAAATAATTTTTATTGAATTCATGATGCAATAAAGTATATAACAGGAGTGACAGACTGATACTTAGAGACAGTTGATTGTACTTATAAAAGAGGAAATGTCTATTTGTATCTTGCTTAAACATATGGATAAATTATCTCAGTCTCCAGTGTTTAAAAAAGCAATAACTCCAATATTGATTCTGATAGAAGCCATTACATATTGTTGTGACCTATGAATTTAAATCATATTCATCCACTGGTGTTGGAGATGGTTTGTAAGGGACAAGTGATTATCCTAACCTTTCCTGTATTGATGTCACAGTGATAGCTAGAAATTGGCCATGGTGAGAGAATTTACCCAAGGGTGTCAGTAAAGAGTACAAAAAGAACTCAAAACAAAACAAAAAATCCCTAAATGCTAAGCATCTATTAGCATACCCCTGAATTCACCATGAAAAATTTTGCAGGCAAATCTTAACCCAAGATTCTAGACCCACTGGTTCAATTCTTTAATATCATAGTTTCAAACTTTAAAAAATTTTTCTCCAAGTCTGTTATTCTTTTTTTCAGGTTTACATTATGCAAGAAAATAGAAGTAAATGAAGAAACAAACAAACAAAAAGTTCTATAGGATTGTTTCTTAATTTTTTAGACTCTGCCCCCCATGCTTTAAATTTCTAGTTAGATTTCAGTAATTGGTTAAATTCTAAATTGTTTATACTTGCAAAATAATTAGATGTTCTTTGGTGTGGACTGGATTGTGCTTGCCACAACGTTATATGTTCAAGTCCTAACCTGAAATATGATAGTATTGGAGAAGAGTGCTTTGGGGATTCATCAGAATTTGATAAGATCACGGGAATAAGTCCCTGATGAGTGGATTGGGGTTGTTATCAGAGACTTTCTTGTTTGAGGCCTGCAGACAGAAGAGAACCTCATGAGCAGTGTTCTCTGAAAGCTCTCACCAGAAACCCTTCCACATTGGCACTGCGTGGGCTTCTCAACTACAGCACTATGACAGACACATCTCTGTCACCTGTGATGTTTTGCTATGGCAATCCACTGCAAAATCTTTGTAGCTTGCTAACATGCCTTTCCATTCCTAATGAAAATGATAGATTCACACGGAGGCTGTTTCCTTACTGAGAGGGATTCAGAGAAGTGTTAAGGCTGCTTTATAGCAGAGATAATTTCAATCTTACCCCTGGCAATCTGGAAGAATCCCAGGCCATTTCATCTTCAGGAATGTGTTATAAAAAAGACAGAAAAAATTAATATGCAACACATGTGCATTGTCTTGCTGAATTCATTTAGAGTATTTCTCTTTTTCTTTTTTAAATTCCTCAGCTGACAAATTACCTGCTGAGATTCACTACAATTCAGCAAAGGAGGTACACTTTTTAAAAAAAATACATGAGCATACTTAATGCATATCATTAAAATAACCATAGATACAGTATTTATTGCTGTGGCTGTCTGACAACAATCAGACCTGTGACCTTTCAGTTAAATTCTCTACTTGTCGTTTCCCTGTTGGAAGGGAATTGTGGTCATATAACATTTACCTGTTAAGTACTTTCATGCTGTTTGTAGAGTACTGTATTAGTTTAGCAGGAAAAGGTTAGTATTAAAAATGAGCCAGATATAAATTTGTGTATATGAGTTTGGCACTGGTTCATTTCCCGGATACCGCGAGACCAGGGCATTGAAGCCAGGTCACCCATGTGGGCGGCAGGAAACCAGTTTCTTGAGTCAGAAACTACTAATTTCAAGGTCTACATTGCTGGGAAGTTAGAGACAAGAGCTGGGGTGAGGAATCAGAGCCAGGAATCCTGACACCAGGTGTGGATGTCTTTTTAAAAATTATCTTATTTGTTTTTATTGAATGGTCAGATTTACAGAGAGAAGGTTAGACAGAGAGAAAGATCGTCTGTCTGCTGGTTTACTCCCGAAGTGGCTGCAACTGCTGGAGCTGAGCTGATCCAAAGCCAGGAGCCAGGAACTTTGTTTCAGTCTCCCACGTGGGAGCAGGGTCCTTAAGGCTTTGGTCCATCCTCTACTGCTTTCCCAGGCCACAAGCAGGTTGCTGGATGGGAAGTGGAGCAGTAGGAACCTGAACCTGTGCCCATATGGGATCCAGGCACATGTAAGGTGAGGATTTAGCCACTGAGCCGTCGTGCTGGGCCCCCGATGTGGATGCTAAACTAAATGTCTGCTCCCTCTGGAAACATTTTTGGAGTACTCATGTTTTCCTCTTGATGTCACTACCTGACATTATTTGCATGTTTGTCTTCCACGAAGCACATGTTGAAATTTATTTGTCAACTTCACAGAATAGGGAGGAAGGACCTGATGGTAGATGTTCAGCTAATGAAGCTACTTTCACGAACAGATCCATATCATCCTCAAAGGGCTCTTCCAGGTGGGCTCTGAGCCCGTTTCCTGCTGTGCCATGGGGACCCAGCCTTCCTCCATGTGGTGCTGCCTCAGGGAAGCAGAGCTATCACACCAGACGTCAAGCAAAAGGCTCTGTTTCAGATTGCCCGAAGTTGAGAGGTGATTCAGTAGGTTTCTGCTCTGCATATAAGCTACTATCTGTGGTATTCTATCCTAGAAGGACAGGGCAGCATTGGGGGGCACTTGTACCGCACCATGGCTATTAGCTTAGGAAATGAATTCCAGGCCTGTTGTGGGAAAGGAGGATCTAAATGCCAAGTTCAAGGAGCTGTGACCTCAGTCACTGTGTTTTTCTTTTATTTATTTTACTTCCCTTCCTAAAAATATTTTAGTGGGAGGTTTATTCAGGTGTCAGCATGGGTCCTTGGCCAGTGAATAGGGTGAGGAGACATACTTTAAACACATTGGCATCCAGAAGGTAGGAGCCAGCTCAGGAGCAATGGCAATAAAACAGACAAGACAAAGTAATGGAGCAGTGATGAAACAAGCATGCAAGTGAAGTTGACCAAAGGCTGCGTGTGATGACTGAGGAAAAAGGAGGCCCATGATATTTTAAAGGTCTTGAGGCTAATATTAAGAGGATGTTAGCAGTAAAATTACAAGAATAATGGATTTTATTTTATTATTATTTTTTGAATGGCTTTGGAAGTCCTGGCAGAGCATCTTAGAGCATCTAGATGGCTTGGACCTAGAACGAACAGGAAGGAGAGACTAGAATTCTGGGAGAGAGCTTGGAGCTGTGATTACATACATACAAGCTTCCAAAAAGCTCAAGGAGAAAGGTATTAAAAGATAAATTTGACGGAAAAACTTCGAAATTCACAGATAGTTTTATTATTGTTATTTATGTTTCCAGAATTTTTTTTTTTTTGAAGACCCTTGTATTTGTGAGTCAAATGTTACAGGTAGGAATTGGTAGTATGAAGTTACCCAAAAAAGATAAAATTGTGTGTATAGTGTGTGTGTGTATGTGTGTGAAAAAATAAGAGAGAGAGATTAAAGACTGTTTCTAATTAGACTATTTTATAGTAAAGTGTATCAACTTGAAATTTCGAATTAGTGAAAAACTTTCAAGTATATTTGCCAAGGTATCTTATGGCAGCTATTTGTATCCTAATATAGTGCCTTTTTATCCTAACATAAGGCAAAT